CAAAGACGAATTTATACAAAGATTTACAAATTTAATTGTTGTTAATTAATTAATGGGACACGGTCAAGTTGGTTCGATTTTACGGCCATTCCAAAACCGAACTGATCAATTCAGTTTAATTTATTATCGAACAAAATCACCCGAAATTGGGAGTAAAACAGAACCAAATCAAACCAAACAATCTTCAGTCAGTTCAGTTCTGTTCAGGACACGTTAGTTTTGAAAAAAAAATATTGGATGGAATAGATGGTAAATTAGAATATAATATGAGAAATGGATAAAACTCGAGATTTGGTAGGGTGTGAGAACCAGTCAAAATTACACTGCAACATACACTAATGTTGGGTAGTTTTTAAACCATTCAAAATCAGTGTTCAAAAAACTAGCAAGTGCTGATTTTTCCAACTTTTTACCAAAATTGATGAAAAAATCTCCCCAGCAGGCCGTTAGGGTTTTCATGTAGCTTTTAGCGAAAGTTAACCAAAATCATGTATTTTAAGTTTGATGGTCATTAATATGTTACAAAAATTTAATTTCAAAGATCAAGTGCAAATTAGGCTTTTAAAAATATAAAATATATATTATAATATTTTATAACCTAAATTATCAAAAGTTTAGTAATTAAGTTCTAAATTAAAGGTAACTAAATAAGGATAGCTACCATATATTCTCTCTCTACTCTATCCATCTATTCATTTTTCTCTCTCTATCACTACACAATAATATTTTATCTAATGGTGGTGCGATCTTTATGGTGTCACGACTCGTCCCAAATCACCCTAATGGACCTGAAACGAATCGTGCCCCGATGATAGATACCAACTAAGTGTCGCCACCACCAAGGCGAATGCAGCGGTGTTTATTACCCTACATCTTCACCTGTTCTAACTGCATTTTTTCAACATTTTACAAACACTTCAAAAATATAGGAATTTCTCAATTTTTGTTGATGTATTTTATTCTATGGAGTTAAAATTTCGNAGAGTCTAACTCTAATTTCAAAACTTAAAGCTATTAATTAAAATCAAATTTTAATTAAATATATAAAATTAGAGCCAACTCTAATTCCAAGATATTAAGGCGAACTTATTTAATTAAAATCAGATTTTAATTAAATATCAAATTAGAATCCAACTCTAAGGCGAGACAATTTAGCTAAAACCAAATTCTAATTAAATATCAAATTAGAGTCTAACTCTAATTTCAAGATTAAAATAGGGTAGATAATTTAATTAAAATCAAAATTTAATTAAATACTAAATTAGAGTCCATCTCTAATTGTAATTGAATTAACATTTTAATTTAGGATAAAATTTCTAAATAAAATAAAATTTAATTTAATTTATGGTCAAAATTTAATATTTAAGTTAAAATCTAATTTTAATTATAATATAAAAGTCCATTAATTTTAAATAAAATCTAAAACGAGTAAAAATTGAAATTTTAAGGTCAAACTTTTTAAAAATTTAATTTTTTTTTTTACCAAAATTAATTTTCGTTTCCAAATCAAATTTAGAACTAGAAAATCAATTTTTCTTTAAAAGATAGAAACATAAAAAAATAGCAACAATCAACTTTTGATTGTTATATAATGCGAAACAATTTTTAACAAATACAAAGTAAACTCTAATACCATTGTTGGAGATTTACTTAACGTACACACTGGAAAATAAAATAATTTCTAAATCCCACCAGAGATTTGGTTTGTGTTTCGATAGAAACTGTAATAGAAAATTATACCTTTTGTAAATTCTACAAACTTCTTTGTTGATCTAGGAATAAGAATAATCACGATCTGCAATTTACAACTGTTCTATTTTCCAGCCTTCAATGGAAATCCACACATGGAACAAGAATGAGATAATTAGGGTTTTTCTTTTTGCACTAGCAAGAATATGAATTGTGTTTTGTTTTATTATTTCGGAAACCATAATGACTTATTAATATAAGTCCAAGTGAGTTTGACCCGTTTCTTAAATGTAACTCGATCCAATATTTAATTATTCCAATTAATTAAATTTGATCCATAAATTAATTTGATCCATATGAATTGTGTTTTGTTTTATTATTTCGGAAACCATAATGACTTATTAACAAGTAATTCAATTAATTAATTGTCCAACACTTGTTAATTAATTAATTTATGAATCTCATTCTTCTGATTCTCCTTTTGTGTGTGACCCATCAAGTTCCCGATCACGATACCTAACAACGTGAATTATTATTTTGAATTATTAAAATATCCTTTTTTAATTTATCATCAATTTACATCCATCGCCCCAGATTGATATCTAGTAATGTGTCAGGGTAATACATGTGACGAAAAATGTCACGTGGTATGACAAAACTAAAATTATTCGTTTACTGTGAAACTATAATCATTTTGTCAATATGATTCGATCAATTACGAGATATGAATATATGTCAATCTCAATTATTGATCCTATATTTTATCCCACTATTAAGTCAATGTAAGTCGAAAACTTCTTTTCGACTTATGAGTATACTTCGGCCAAAGATTTCGTTATTAACTTAAATGAATGAAATGTAAATCATAATTTCTTACTATCTAAGAATGACGAATCTTTTATTGATAATTCAAAATCTTCATATGATTCTTGACATACCCGAATGATGTTGTTTTAGCGACCATTGGCAAAGCAATGTCCAATATCATCAAATTATGACTGTCCTCATATAAAACAATATGATGACCTCAAGTCGAATGACCAATTCCATTACCGAACGTTAGAGATTAACCATTGACACTCAGATAGTTATCCACACTACAAGAAAAAAGGCCTTTTGCAACATGTAAAAGGCAACATTCATCAATTGCATGTTGCTAAAAGGGGTCTATGGCAACATTCAGTAAGTGAATGTTGCTATTGGTTGACAAAATTGAGTTTTGGCAACGTTTTTTTAATGAATGTTGCTAATATACCCTTTTTGCAACGTTCGCGGTCCTTTTGCAACGTGCAATGCGCGTTGCCGTAAATTAGTTTTAGCAACGTGCATTGCACGTTGCCATTA